TTGATCGCCGGGGCTTTTTTTTTTTTTTGCTTTTTTAGGGCGGGGGGGTGGCAGCGCTGCCTGCCAGTGTCCCACACTGGCCTGGCTCTGCTTTGCCGGCCGGCCCTTGTGTGGCCTCTGTTTGTTGTGGTGGCGAAGGAGCTGTGAATCAACAGCTGGCCCGATACAAGCCTGCAATTGAAGCAACAGAGGGGAGGCCCACCCATTACCCCCCTCCCCTCCCCACCACCGCCACCCCGCCCTGACTCCCCCGCAAAGCCCTTCATTAACCAGCCAGTGGGGAGTCGGGCAACACCAGACACTTGGCACACGATCTTGGCTGGCGGGCCAGACATAGTTGGTGGGGGTCAAGTCTGATCACCTGCCCAGAATTATAATGGCAGTAGTCATGCACATGCCTGACACACACACACACACACAGACGCTGACTTGTGGACAGGAGCACACTGAGGCACATTTGTGCTTTGACTCTGTGCATACTGTACATGAACAAATTGCAGCTGACATAAAGATGTATAATTATTCTTCAGTCTCACTTTAAGTTTGAAGCCTTTATTATCCTCTGATGTGTCAAGCGCTCTCTGATGTCTCACAAGTGAAGACCTCTCACCTGAAATGATGATGTATTTCCAGGCTTTGACGCTGTAAAGGCCATGCTTTTTTATACTGTTCCTTACTGCAAGTCGTTTCGGGCTGGGAAGACACACGAACCTGCTCCTTGTGCAGCAACCCAATCATCCTGTAAGACGTGCAGATGTTATTTAAATATTTGGCAGCATTTCATTCAACAAACTAGAAAACTGTCTATCCCTCTATGTATTTCACCCTTCATTTGTTTGATTGACACTGCTCATGTGACCCGCTCATATGTTTCAGAGATTGGTTTGATATGGTGCTGTGAGAAGTCAGTCACACACCGAGCAGTCGTTAAAGTTTGATGAATCGGGCTGTGCAAACCTTCTTACAACTCACAGCACGTTCTGTGTGGTTTTTCAGCGATGGTAGAATAAGAAGTCATGGGTGGTTGTAAAACACTTGCTCAAATGAATGATTATCATTAATAGATTCTAATCGCATCCTGTAATCACATTACACACATTACATCAGATTTATGATCATACTATATCCTGTTTTCATACCATCATCAGTTTGAATCGGATGTTAAAAAGCAGGCATAATAACAAGCCCACACTGAGCAATGTACCACTGCCGCTATCGAAAAACCAAACACTGACTTGATCTGATCAGCAGTATTTAGTTTAAAGGTGGAGCGAGGTATGGGCATCAAGCGACGCCGTTTTATTTTTAACCCCAGTGAATGCACAACATCCTGTCCTTGCCACATGGGCATGTTATGAAATGGGCACATGAGGGATTCAGCATCCTGTTTTAAATGAATAACAAGAGAGATTTCCCTGCTGTCCGGTAAAATGATAACCACATCCTCGCTCATAAGACATTTCAGGATTTTGAGCATTTTTGTGGAAATCATAACAGGTCACAGGACGATTTTAGTGTTTTTTCTCATGACAAAGAATGTTCCCATGTTGAAAAAGCCTTGCCAACACATGGTGCATATGTTTTTAAGAAACTGCAGTATAGCTGTAACCAGAGGGAATAAAGTAATGAAGGTAAATCGATGTAGCTTTATAAATAAATCATCCTTTTTTTTTAGCTTAGCCATGGGTAGAGAGTCAAAACTAAGGAGTCATGTCAGTAATTGCATAGCCATAGATTCATTCTGTGGGAATGATATAGCTGCTTGCAATTCCTCTCATCATAAAGACTAGACACATTATGGTGCCACGAGGAGGTAAAACACAAGCTCACTCACTGCCATCGAAATGTTTCTGTGGTCGTTGTGTACTGAAATATGAACTCCACTCTTAAACCTTTGTCATTATGTTTTCCCACTAGCTGTCAACTGTGTAATAGAAGAGAATCTGTGACTTTGCTTATTGGCATCAGACAGACTGATGTGTATTGAGGCAGTTGTACCTGGTTGGTCCGTGTGAACACGTTGAAATTCTGGAGGTAACCTTTGTGTCAAGGTTGTGGTATCAGTGTACACCAGGCGGCAGGATGACAGTACTTAGAGAGGTCTATACACAAAGAACACAGTCTGAGATAGGATTAGTCACATAAATATGGAGTTTTGAGGACAAATCACTTACATCTCATAATGATAAAAGGTGCAAGACTATGATCAACTCCACCCATATGCAGTTACCAGTCACATTTATAATCTGTGGAGTATTGTTACATCAAAAGAAACTCTATCCGTTGCTGTCATAGCAAATAACCAGAAAAGGAAGTATATATGCTGTCCCTGATGCAGTAAGAGAAGAGGAACAGACAGCTCGTATGAACATGGAGGAAAGGGCTCTGTATCATGGCCTCGCTAAACGTAATACTCACTCATTAACTCTGCATGCTTACACAAGAGAGGTAGCATTCATCATTACAAGCCAGTGGCAGAAAGTGACAAGCAACATAAAAGATATATCGTATATAATCGCACTAGAATGGAATAAGAAGCAATTTATGTAGCAGAAATAAAACAGTGACTAACATTTGGTAAATTCTATCGGAGGAAAATACAGCGTGTAATATTTACCAGGAGCAAATGTGCAGTGTGTTGATGATTTACGTTATAAAAAGGCTACAAGAGGGCATTTTTATTTACAGCCATGGTCCTTTGTTTTTACAAAGTAGCCTTATTTTCCCCCGAGCTGCTGTGATGAATAAGGGTTACCGATGCTGAACCAGGCCCTGCCAGGAGTCACATCAGGGATGAAAAAATTTCAAAGAAATGGTATGTAACAGTAAATGTTAGTCATTATTGACAGCTATGGTCAGCTGTCTTTCGGCTTTCATGGTTCTACTTCAGGCATCTCTGGCCCTGGGCTAATAATTCCTATGTGTTTATCTGGATGACCATAACAGTTTTTTTTACACTTCTATTTCATCGGCTCTGTTTAGTAGTTTTCTAGTCTCAAATAGGGAATGTGTGAAGGTAAAAAACACGAAGGGCTTCATGCATCAGTGTTCTTTTATAGACTTTTATTTTGGAGAAATTGTTTAAGATCATTTGAAGTTTACTCGTTCATTCTTATCGCCCATTTTCTCCTGTTATCTTTATTTGGTGCATTGGCGAAGTCACGGGTTCAGGTCACAGCAGGAAATGCCAATATTTGACTTTGATTCCAACAAATTCATTTGTGCAAACACATTAAGTTTAAAGGGAGGACATGTAACCTTTGGGTGGTTTTCTTGTACCCTTGTCCTTTATCTGTTTCTTACAATGTCACGGACTGCACTGGTGCCATGTGTCAGCTGTCATGAAAGGGGAATAATTTCTTCAGACAGACAGGGAATTCCACGATTACGTTACAGAAAGTGTGTCCTTGCTCTGATTCCATCCTGACAATTGTATTTATTTCAAAGATAAGTAATAATTTATCTGTGGGGGTCAAGAGGCGGGGTTGGTGCTGGAGCGCAGCTCGCTGTTGGGATCTTGTGAGATCTTGTGTCCTGTAGTCACCGTGACCCTGGACTCACCCCACCCAGGCTTTGACCCTGCACTCCCTGAGGAATGTGACCCCAGTGGAGGTCGTCTTGTGCGTGAGAGTTTGGAGACTGTCTGTCGCTGCTGCGACCAGATAGTTTTAAGCCACTGTTTTTCCTGCCCTATCTCATTTCTTCCCTAGAGGTCATAATAGTCTAGCTGGTTTGCTTAGGATTATGTCGTAGTCCACGTGTACCTGTGGATAGCCTATTACTTCCTTCCAGGGTTGGTCAGCGCACCACTCATCCTGGTGATGAACTTCTACCATTAGACAGTCAGCCTAATGGTAGAAGTTCAACATTGTAGTCAGAAGGGCAGAGAATTATTAATTAGAAATATCCCTTCCCTGACCATTTCTGTTCAGCAGGTAATCCCCAGTCTCTTTACAGTCAAACTGCTCAGTCCATGACATCAAACTGCAGTCTGACTGAGAAAGGTTACCACTCAGGTTGGAGCAGGCACCATGCAGCCCCCACAAACCACCAAACAGTATTGTTAGGGCTCTAGCTACCATTAAGGACACCAAGGTTGTGTGGTTGCTACTGTTTCAGAGGATGAGCATTGGAGTCCTACAAGAACACGCCACTTTCTGCCGACTTTGTAACAGTTGTGATTATTTTTACATGAAAGATTCTGTCTGGCTCATTTTGAAGCGGATCAGTTGGAAATGGGTGATCTCTGTGCACCAGTTAGCGACATTTGAATCAGAAGGTTAATTACAGTGGTGGAGTTGTTTGCTTACGTTGCACAGTCAAATCTGATCAAACGCCCACACATGAAGCTGGTTAGCTAAGGTTTTGAGTGATAAGTTCATAATAAATAATAACTATAATGATTTTTTTCTGAGCTTAAACCTTGAGGCGTTTAAGGTCTTTATAATTGATATAATTTCACTTAATTCAAGAACATTTTGCTAACTTGTTTTTTGGTGACTACTCTAACGGGGGCAGGATTGTGCAGTAGGAGTTTGCACTCATGACCTCAGTATTTCTAAAATCTAGTTAAGGGGCCAAAATATAGTGAAAGAGTGGGAAAATTATACAAAATGACCAATATACTCTTACAAGTGAATTCAGGGGTGCAAAAGTTTCTTCTTCTGGTATGATTGTGTAGCAGTACGTCACACAGCATGCATGCACTGCATCAGCTTTCTTCCTGGTAACAAGGAAAAGCACAGTTGTTGCTGGTGTACCTTGTTTCTGGCATGCCCTTCCCAACACTCCCACCACATCCACTTCAGCATATTTTGATATAATCATCAGCTTTCCTGAAGTAGTGTGTCTTCAAACAGTGTGATGTAATGCACTGAAATGTCAGAAGTTTAGGTAAGACTTCTGCAACTGGAATGGAAATCATTTTAAGAAATATAACTTTTTGTATCCAAACTGAAACCATGCCATGCGTCACACATCTTTAACCTTCAATTAAAAGCACAACTGTGCATTTCTAATAACTGGTTAATGTTTGGTGTTTGGCACAGTTTGGTTTCAGAGCTTGACATGCTTTGACATCCTTGAATTTCACTGTGATGTTGGTCTTCAAAAGCTGCAGAGGCAACAGGGGGTGAAATCTGCCTCTGGAAGTACAGTAGTGATGACATTTGTAGTAGGCTAATCCTTTTTTGACTGTTGTATAATTAAAGGGATGCACACATGGTTTGGCACAGTCCCTTTTTTTTAGCAGCTTTCCAGCAAAGCTCCAACAAAGCTGGCAGCATATCCAGCAATTGTTCGATTCTAATGGTGCACACTGATAGCAGACAACATCGTCATTGAATAGTACAACATCCACTCAATTGCATCTCATAAGTCATAAAACCGAGGTAGATTAGTTTGTTTTGTTTTGTTTTGTGGTCAAAGAATGATGTGTAATTCTAACAGTGTTATAAGCTCATGAAGGATCTTGTAGGATGCTCTTATTCTACTGTTGCATACAAAGTATTTTTCTCAGGATACATAACATCGGCTAACTGACCACATGTCTCTAACAGGTATCTGCGTCAAATGTGGGAAGGGTGTATATGGAGCCAGCCAAGCCTGCCAGGCCATGGGCAACCTTTATCACACAAACTGCTTCACCTGCTGCTCCTGTGGTAAGTAAAACTGTCAATTTAGTGAAATAATGGTAGAAACCGGTTCATCATCCGGTCTGCAAACGTGGGCGGTAACCCACCCCAGTGCATCCTGCATGTGTGAGCATAGCCATTCCCCTCAGTGACCAATTTGGTGCCAACCTGAAGCAAAGTCCATTTCCAAAAACTGTTGTGTGTTGAACTTTTCTTGGGTTTGACTTTAAACATGCAAATGATCCGTTCTGTATATTTGACTATTTTCACATTCCTGTAGTGGTGCAGGTAGCAGGTTTGAAATGTCAGAAGCTGCATATGATTTGGTACTTACAGTTTGCTCTGCAGTCTGCTTTCTATATTTGGAGACCAGGCTGGTAGACTGGAGATACTGTATAAAATTACCTGTCTAGATTACAAGTGTTGCACTTTCAGACAGCTACAAAAGCACTGGCTTGGGTCATCCATTTTAAGCCTGACAATCAAACCAGACTGTATTATCTTCATTCTGTTCGACAGTGTTCATATTATCCAGTCTCTGTTTTGTAGTAGTTGATATTTTGCTGTAACCAATCAACAGCAAGTAGTGCAGTTGTCATCATTAGTCTGACCCAGGGGTTTTCTGAGGCCTCAGCCCACCCTCAAGCAAAATTTAGACAACAGCGACCTCCCACCCCCATCCATGACTCACTGCTATTTGGGAGATAATCCAGCTACAGTTCCCATAATATTTTGGGGGATGTAAAGACGAAATACAATGTTGCTACTGTATGGATTCAGTGACTTACATCTTCATCTTGAGTCTATATTTGTTTACATTTAAGCAAATTGGCATCAACAGTATTCTGAGCTATCAGCAGTTCCTGTTTGCAATGTGCTGATGGATGCGCACACAATTATCACTGAATTACTTAAGACAACTTAAGAATTTGATGGTTCTCTGTTCTCGAGTTATAAGGAGTTTTTTAAAATTCAGATGTATGGACATTTATTCACTTTGGTTTAGTCACAGTGAATCTAAAAATGTGTGTCTAATGTCTGTGTGTTCAGATTTAACTGAGTTATGACTCTGAGGAGTACGAATTTTGACGCAAATTGTGGCAGTCGGGCCCTAAGGGTTTTAAAGTATTATCTTCATTGTCTTCATGAGTTGTGTGTCACAACAGCTGCTGCAGCTGCAGCCTCTGATAAGCGGGCCAAATCGTCAGAACAAACTACAATAACGAGTCTTACACACTATCTTTGGCTCACATCTCTCCCTCCATGCAACCCCCCTACAACACTCCTTTGCCATTTGAAAACCTCTGTTGTACAGGGAATCTGCAGTAGAGGTTGTTATGAGCAAGAAATATGTAGATTTTAAGAGTTCTGTATCTGTAACTAAGTCGACTCACAACAACCCATACAGCTCAGTTGATCTCACCCACGCTTATCGCCCTTTTTTGTGGCCATTTGTCTGGCCCAGGAAAATTATGCCTCCATTCTTAATCTCTCCCACAAAGCTCTGATTGGTCGATTGTTTCTCCGGCAGGAAAAAAACAGCCGCCAATGAGCACAGCATCACACATGTCGGTATTGCTGACAAAATCAGAGATGGAGGCAGTGATTAGAGGTCTGGAGACTAAAAGACTCTTAGTTTGCCACTTTATCCTTTTAGTGCTCTTCAGGAAAATTGAAAATCCATGAGTCTGACGTGTTCACGCCTTAGATACATCCCACGTCTTACACGCACCATCGATTGTACCGCCGACTTTAGAAAACGGTGGGAAAATGTGTGCTAACGCTTGTGCTTCAGTTTGTGTCCAGCCTCCCACCTTCCCTGTCTGCAGATTTCTGTGTTCTTTCGTACAACCTTGCTCTAAGCTTCAGCCGCTGCTGTCGCTGCTGAAAAATCATCATTAGTATCACCAGCCTGCTGTCAGAGGTGGTGTTACAGTCGGGGATCAAAACATCTGCTGCTTAAAAAAAGATCCTCCAGCCTGAGGTCTGTTCAGCAGAATGACAGCAGGGCAGCTCAGTTCTCTCTGCAGCAGGAACAAGCTAATAACTCTGCAAAGAAATAAAATGCAGACATTATTTGGTCTATAAGACTGTAATTAAATCTGTTTCTGTGTTCACAGTATAGATGGTGTGTGTGTGTGTGTGTTCGCGTGTGTGCGTGGCGAGCATGCGTGCTTGTGTGTTTTGGACATCCCTGTCACCCGACTCCAGCCCTCCTCTCCTGTTTCCCAGGGAAACAAGAGGAAGATGTCGGGAGAAAGCTTTTTAGCCAGGTTGCTTCCTTTCATATGTGTACTATACATGGATACTGATCCTCCACCCCACCCCCTCCGGCTCTGGAAGAACTGCCTATAATTTACATGTAACCAAAGCCACATACTTTTCCGATTTATTGTGTGTGTGAAGAAAGAGGGGCCAGATGCCGAGTGTCCAGTTGCTGAGGTAGTGGGGTTTGCTGTGGAAAAGTGGAAAAGTAGCCTCTGATGTGGTTATAAGTGATATAAGTGCTGTTTGTTGAGGAGTCACTAGCTAGCCACGCCGCCGAAAACGGCTTTCAGCGATGAAATGAAGCAAAGACGCAGATCTTGTTTGTAAGACAACCAGATTATTTCCTCTGAAGACTAAAAATACTCTTAAAGGGTGACTGGATTACTTACGGGGAGGGGGTGGGGGGTTAATTACATCATAAAATAGTTATGTAGGACTTTATTGCTGTTAGACAAAAACCACAGACAGCCCCTGAGAGAATTATTGTTGCGTTTATTGGAGAAATCATGTCCAGGATTAGTTAACAAGTCGTTTTCTGTGCTCAGTGCAGGTCCTTGTTGATAGCTTCACAGGCCGTCTTGCCTCTCGAGATGGTTTATTGGTAACGTAAACTTTGTGATGTATCATTTGACCTCATGTGAATGGGAATGTTTTCTTTTAAGCGGTGTTTTGAAAGCCTCTGAGAAGTTTAGTTTCAAAGTGCCTGCACTTGTCATAACACAATCCAGTGATTTATCAGGAGCTACGTTCCTATGTCCCTGTTTGTTTTTTGGTTTCTTTTTTTTTTTCTCTTTTTTTTCTGAGGAGTAGGGTCCTCCTGGAGTCGGGAGCTCCAGAGTGAGGCCGAGTTTGCTGAGACATTGCTCACTGGTAGCCTTGGGCTTTGTTTAACCATGCATAATTGAGCCCTCCTCTTGGCTTACTCCCATGGTTGCACCCTTTTTTCATGAAATGGCCAAGAATGCAAACTACCCCCCTCCACTTCAGCCGGCCTTCGCTGGAGGACCTCAATCAGACAGTCACAAAGTGTACCAGACCTGCTTATCAGAGGGGGCAGGCCTGGCATGGGCTCACGTTAAACGGCACATGCACGGAGAAGTGCATGCGTACGTGTGTAGACACATGAACCAAAGTTGACGTGGTTTCAGCTCCCTAGGGTCAGTCCAGTTTTTTCTTTTGAGAATGATCTTTGTTTCCTTTTTCATTGTAAACAAGTACATCTGCTGAGGCCCATTTTTATGCATAATGTTAAAGAGCAGTGATTCCTCCTCTCACAGCTACTGTTACAGTGCCATTAAGCAAGGTGTTTGTTTCCCTCTGCAGCCTTAATGGCAGTTTGGGGGATCAGTTTGCCACTAAATATATTTTCCCACAGAAATGCGCTTAAACTGGAGTGAATTTATATTTCTGCATGACTGTGAGTCAGGGTGTTGTTGAAAATAAGCACGCCTTCTCCGGATAAAATAAAAATAAATAAATAAAGGCGCTGCTTTAGGCTGGATGAGCAGAGTGTCAACCGCAAGGCTGATGACTCATTTCTGTGTTAGAGTAATCCAAACGGCCTCTGAAAGCACTGGCAGGAGAAGAGAGCTCAGGGGCTTGAATTTCTCAAATCTTTCACCGCTACCAGTTGCACCTGCCAGGCAGCGGAAATCAGGAACGTTCACTTCTTTTGTGTTTTGTTTCTGGAGTCATACAGTATGTTTGTGTGCACATTAATTATAGCAGCATTATTAGCAACAATTAGATTGTGATATGAATAAGGACTATGGAAGCTGTCATATAAACCACATTAAGTTCATCTTTAACCTTCAAATATCCTGTACAGACCTCAGATGTATTGATATAAGGCATACCAGTCTATAGAAAAAATATACTGTCAGTAGCTTGTTAGATAATAACAAGTGTTCTCATTAGCAGGTTGTCAGTGAGCCAACAGCTAACAAGCCTGTAGCAGTATTGTATTTTGACACCCTGCATTTAACCTTTCTGGTTTGTTTGGAAAAGAAGGCGTAAAGTTGCGTTCCTCCTCTTCTTTTAATGAATGACAAGCTCCTGTGAGACATGTTGCACCTAGGATCTGTGTCATAATATTGCCCTAAATTTGCACCTTTATATTATTTTCACTATTTCATTTGTTGGCATGAAAAGTTGACTGCATGTGAACCTTTGCTCTCGTGCAGGCACAGGGCATGGAAGCTCCATTACCTAATCATCATGCCTCAATATTAGTTTGTAAATTATTCGTAAATATCATTCTGTAATGTGAGCTGCATTACCAAACTGTCAGTACGCTGTCCCTTTTAACATGACGTGGACAAATTTGATGGTGTTAGGAGGACTGTCAATAGAAGTAATTTTGAAACACATAAAAATGCATTAGCAGGGATTTCACAGCCTCTCTTCTTTGAAATCCCAAAAGCACTCAGGCTACATGATGAGAAAATAACACACACTATCCCTCTGTCGTCCTTCTTCTCCCCATATATATTCGTTTTCTGCACAATCAAAGTCATGTTTAGCCTCTGCAGTTGTTGCCACATTTCCACCAGCCTTTCCCCTACAGCTATACTTCAAACCAAAGGCTCCACCAGCTTTGTGGTTGCAATTTTAAAAGTGCCCTCTTTGTAGATCTGTCTCTCATTGTCAACTTGAAAAGAGGTTACAGTTTCTAAGATGTCTTTCAAATAGCAAACCAGTTTTAAAATATTGTGATGTTCCAAGTTGTGTCTTTGGAAAGTCAAAGTCTGACCAGAGCA